GGGGTAAGTAGGCTTGGGAATGTCTGTGCGAGGATATTCATAGTGATATTCTATAGGGTGTATGTCAGCTGGCCGGTAATACGCATAAAATGAGAAGACATACTAGCCCCATATAAAGGTCCAATCCCCGCCGAGGATATGGACGAAGACGGAGAAACTACTGGCACAACAAATCAAACAATGAATCATTTCATAAACTTGAACATACCAGCCGCAGCAGTGGCCGGAAAAAGTACCGGAGAGACTGTTTCTAGATAGGATATAGGTGAGCTTCCGAAGTTTGGATGAAGGAAGATTAAGTTTACCTCGTTTGATGAGTGGAGATTTCGACGCTCCTAGAGTGTCCCAATTGATCAAAGTCTGCACACAACGATAAGAAACCTCTGACGTACCTAGTTCCGGGTATGCGGGGAATAGATTCCCGCTCGTGGGGGGTGCGAGGAGTCCGAAAGGATCCTCAGGGTTGAAAGTCTCCAAAGCACCTTCGCGCCTATAGTCAAGCAAACGCCGGACACCAGACCAGCCGTCACTAAAAGAAGACGATGCCGATGGCGTCGGAGCTGACATCGGAGACTTCCCGGAGGATGTTGAAGAGGGAGAAGGAGCTAAAACCTGTCAATCTACGCAAAATAGTTAATAAAGAGTTCAGACTTACAGAGTACAATTGTGTTTGGATCACGTTCAAGAATGGTGAGATAACCGGAAGGAAGAGCCTTGCGAGCCCCGCGCGCTACACATCATAACTGAGGGAGATAAAAACAAAGAGGGAGAGACTTACTTGAATAAAAACGATAATCAAGGACACCTTCGGTCGCGTCAAGGAGATCTTCGATGACAACTAGAGAAAGATATACATCAGACATGTGGGGCACACCGAAAAACCGTGAACATACCCCAATAGCTGCAACTCCAAGTTTTGCAAGCGAACACATGTTTACCGGCGAACTCGCCAGTGATAACTGGACGAATGTATTTTGCGGGCACGAGACAAAAGCAAGTCGGAATGGGGCAGTGCGAGTTTTTGAGAACCACGTGAAGTCGATGGGGATCAACGGGTCGCCCCGCCGCAGTGATTGGACTGAACGACTCGGTAAGAAAATGAGGATCATGGTTAAAATGAAGACTGCATACTATGCGAAGGTCGCCAGATGCGAAACACCGTTGACCATAGTAACTGTTGAGATATTGCCACAGTTCTTTTGCTGTTTTTTGAGAAAGTGGTTGTGAAGAAGGGCCGCACGGTCAAAGGCATCCGAACGAGAAGGGGCACCCTCGGAGGCCGCACGATGAGAGTAAGGCATAATAAATATAGCGTGGTGAGGAAAGCGTGGAAGGGAAAATTCGATGACTCGGAGACAGTTAATGGACAGAGAGGGCTAAGGAAAGCAATGGGGAGCAAGGCAAGGGAAACGGGAGGGGTGAACGACGACTCAGGAATCCCACCTGGTATGGGCTTTTATACATTCAACGGAGACCACCGAGAAGAGAAAGAACGTGTGCAAGAATTCCAATTAAATTCTGTTGTACTGAATTGAAATGTTATGAGCATAGACATGAGGCTATGGACGTCGAGCTGAAAATTGAATGTATCCGCCGAGATTGGCACAGAGGTGACAGAAGAAGCGTTGGGCAGAGGGCAAAAGACGAGGGGATGGCACGGCGAGGTGAAAAAACGTGGCCGAGAGCCCACGGAGCAAGCGAGGAAGCCAGCAGAAGTCTCCAAGAAAAAAAGAGCGGAGATGTTCCCAATTTGGATGTACGCACAGCCACCTCCAGGCCTTCAAGGACCGCCATTACGTTTCGTCACCACCGAAGCCGAGAAGAAGCCGGTGACAGGCGTGTGACTCTTTGTGCCCGCTCGCTGATGTCTGAACACTGAGGTACAGTTGTTTCCCACTAGACGAGGGAACAGCACTAAGACAGACAGTACAGCCGTGTTCTCGCTGTTCTAGTAGTCGACATCCTAAAGAATGTTCCCGAGACAACGACCAGGCCAGCTGTCGTCAGTGCAGAACAGCGAAAATTGCGTGCGACCGGAAGCTCAAGTCTCTCTTCGAGTACACCAAATTTTTCCCTATAATGGTGATGTTTCTCTTCGTCTACAACGGCCGGAACCGAAGCCAGTGCCGCAGTTTAAAGAAGTCTGCTAACAAGCGGAGGAAACTTGCTAACAGCATCGGTTAGTGCCTGGAGCGTGATCATCGATATCTATATACGACTGACCTTCCAGCGCTTCACAGTGGACGAAGCCTTCCTGCTACCTCATGATGCATCAGGTTATTATAATAAAATTGTTCAGGCACGTATCACTGACTTCATATATTTGACAGACTTTACTACGTCGAGTATCGTGGCAGCCTTACGCCAAGCTTTGGACGAACTTACGGTGCTCAAAAATGAAAAACACGGAGCTGACCGATGTTAGCTTGCATTCCATGTAGTACGTGGGCTACTTCAGGGGACTCGGACCAGGAGTTGATTTTGGTGTGAGTGAGTCAGCTGAAAGAATCATAGAATAATGCACAACAATTTACTGCTTAGAATACTTGCATACCGAGATAAAACGCAGGCTCAAGTGAAAGGATAGTCGAGAGAGGGGCAAAGGAAAAAGAGAGACTGAGAGAAACAAATCACCGAACCCCGAATCGAACGGGGGCCTTCTGCGTATACCATTTCTTTCATGTAAACAGTCTGCAGGTGCACTCCATGTGCTATCAGGAATTATTGGGGACTTGTTGATTGCCTTGTATGTCAGCTACTTCAACTCAGGAACTCAAACCGGGGTTGTTTTGGTGTGAATGAGTCGGATAGTCGAGAGAGCGACAAAGGAAAAAGGCCACTATCTACGAATCACCCAACCCCGAATCGAACGGGACCTTCTGCAGAACTTTCAAACGCAACTTTCAGAGGCTGCAGATGCACACCTCGTGCTACCGGGTGTTGTCAAAGTGGGGTGTTCAGTTGACTCGAGGGTGGGCTATTGCGAGGCAGTGTACGACGCGGACGATAATTTCAAGTTTGCCGACCTACCAACAGGGAAGACTCGGAGAAAGCTAGCGCTGACTCGGGTAAAAGAAAGGAGAGAAAAAAAGGTCAACTCATTGCGTACAACACCCGGCCCCGAGTCGAACGGGGTCCTTCTGAAAGGTCATGACAGGAAGATGCCAATTATCGCAGATGCACGCCATGTGCTACCGGGTGGTGCTGAGACTTGTGAGCATGTTGATAGTGAGGTATCGCGGGAGTGGGGTGGGGTAGCGCAGCACGACTCGGACGCAGTTGATAATTTCGAGGTCGCTGTACAGATAGATATTAGACAGACTTACGGACCGATTGCGACAGGGGCAGCAAGTGGCCAAAAAAAAAAAATAGGTGATCCCGAACACATATTTCCCCGACCCCGAATCGAACGGGGGCCTTCCGCAGAAAGCGCATGTGCAACTTTTTAGAGACTGCAGATGCACACCTTGTGCTGCCAGGGGTTATCAAACGGTCGTTATACAAAGGTGTTCAGTTGATTTGAGGTAGGTTGACTGAGCTGTCGCGAGAGTGGGACTGGCAGTGTACGACGCGGACGATGATTTCAAGTTTGTCATTCAGATCGGGTGCCCGTGAAAGAAAGGGGAAAAAAAAAGACACCCGCCCTCACAATGAACACCCGGCCCCGAATCGAACGGGGTCCTACTGCAATTAAAGGCCTGTGCCACAATTGTTAATTATCGCAGACGCACGCCATGTGCTACCGGGTGGTGCTGGGACTTGAGGGCGGGTCGATAGGAGTTGTACGACGCGGACGATGATTTTAAGTTTGCCATTCAGACTGCCTACCGGGGGGTGTCGTACAACAAAAAGCGAGATGAGTCGGGTAACAATGAAAGAGAGGAGAAAAAAAAAGACATTAGATGCGCTCAAACACCCGGCCCCCGAATCGAACAGGGTCCTTCTGCAGAAACTGTAAATAAGACTTCTTAGAGGCTGCAGATGCACACCTTGTGCTGCCAGGGGTTATCAAAGGGTCGTTATACAAAGGGGTTCAGTTGATCTGAGGTAGGTTGACTGAGCTGCCGCGAGAGTGGGACTGGCAGTGTACGACGCAGACGATGATTTCAAGTCTGTCATTCAGATCGGGTGCCCGTGAAAGAAAGGTGAAAAAAAAAGACACCCGCCCTCACAATGAACACCCGGCCCCGAGTCGAACGGGGTCCTTCTGCAAATACCTGAAGACATTTGTTCGATTTGACGCAGATGCACACCATGTGCTACCGGGTGGTGCTGGGACTTGAGGACGGGTCGATAGGAGTTGTATGGTGTGGATGATAATTTCAAGTTTGCTGTTCAGACTACTGTACTTACCGGGAGGTGGCGTACAACAAAAAGCCAGTTGGGTGAAAGAATGGAGAGAGAGAGAAAAACTGCATTCAGTTGACCAACACCCGGCCCCCGAATCGAGCGGGGTCCTTCTGCAATTACATAAAGGACAAATGAGAGATTTGTCACAGATGCACGCCGTGTGCTACCGGGTGGTGTTGTCAATGTTGAGGCTTGAGGATACGTTAGTATAGTGGGGTATCGTGGGAGTGGGTGGAGTAGCGCAGCACGACTCAGACGCAGATGATAATTCCGAGGTTGCTGTACCGATTGCGTCAGGGATGGTTTAGCAGAAAAAGAAAAAGGTGCCGCAGGAATGATTCCCCGACCCCGAATCGAACGGGGGCCTTCTGCAGAACTTCGAGAGCGCATACATTCAGAGACTGTAGACGCACACCTTGTGCAACCGGGGGTTATGATAGGGGTGTGAGCTGAAGATAGGTGGGGTCGTGAGGGTGCGTCGATGGCTTCAGAGTTCGCGGGAGCTGACCTAGCATTGTTACGATGCGAATAACAGTTTGTTTGCCATTCAGACAGGCTATGTACCGACTGCAGAGAGATAGAGGCTGAGCTGGGGAGTCGGCGGATGAGGACAAGAGAGGGAAAAATAATTTGGATGGAATTCTCGAACATCACCCACCCCCGAATCGAACGGGGGACCTTCTGCGAGTAGATGAAGGACACTCATTTAAATCGCGCAGATGCACTCCATGTGCTAGCGGGTGTTTTGTGGGGTTGGGGGAATAGAGCAGAGTTCCGAGCGACGAGTCAGACGTGGCACAATATCATGAAAAATTCAAGCAGACAGTCTCCGCCAGGTTGAAGCGCTGGTGCTCTTCCCGAGTTCTGTAGTCGACTGAATGAAGTCTCGTAGCCAGTGAGATCCATGTCCACTCGGCGTAACTTCGAAATCGCTTTTTTTGCCTCGGTCTTTTACTGACCGCCCTCGCGAAGTTTCTCCAGCTTCTCCACTGGCTCTCTCCTGGGATTGCTCTGTGCCAGTGTCGTAGGTTTGTCAGAAAGGGAGGACTGCTTACCAATACAATCCTGAAAGGACTGTGCTCTGACCACGATGCCGTCTAAACTACGAGCTACTCGACGCCGCGGGCGGGCTCCGCATGCCTCTGACTCTGACGATGAAATAGTACGGGCATCGACGAGCGACTCTGACGGGACGAACGACTCGCTGGACGATTCCTCCGAGTCAGACGACGAGGAATCAGACTCGGAGCCCGTCTCCCGCCACCTCACCCCAAACACTTCCCATTCCCCCGACGCAGATCCAGATGAGAAGCCAGCACCCTTCTTTTCCGCGACCCCAGCGGCGTGGGCGGACATGGTCGACGAGGCGGCTGGGCTCCCCGTCATCTCTTTCGGCGAGCTCGATGCACACGCCGTTCGCAAGGTGCGCATGCAGGAGCCGGAGCAGCCTGCTGCAGAGTCGGACGACGACGACCAGCAGCCTGTCGCCTCGTCTTCGCGCCACTCTCCCGCACCACGGGCTCCGCCACCCCCATCCTCCTCCTTTGTTCGATCCCAATCCGCGCGGCAGGCATACCAGCACCGCCTCGACAGCGACCCGTCCTTTGTCCCCGTCGTCGGTGAGTTCTGGGGCCACGATGACCGGCTGCTCGACAAGGATTTGCGCAGCCTCAGTGGCTGGTGGCGTGGACGTTGGCAGGGCCGCGGTCGTGGAGGCGTTTTTCCACCCCGCGGCAGGGGTCGGGGCGGCTTCAACTCTGGCTCCGGGCCCACACCTAACCAACCAGGCGCTCCGGAGCCCACTCCCGCCCCCGAGTCGCCGATGGACCGCCCCTGGACGCACGACGGGTTCGAGGAGATGCGCCGCCGCGAGGACAACAACCGCGCCCGGCCCCATCCTCCTCCACCTCCTCCTCCGTCCTCCTCTACCCCTGCGTGGCGCACCAACCAAGCCCCTCCGCCTACCCGCGGCGCCCACGCACCCGCCTTCCGCGCCCGCGGCGGCGGTCTCCACCCGCACGCCAACCGCCCGTGGTACGCGATGAAGCCCGAGCACCCCTGGACGAAGCAGCACGACGCGTTCCTCTACCTCGACCCCGCGTTGCGCCCGCGCCCGGGCCACCCCGCCGCCCTGCGTGTGCGTCTCCCCGGTGGGGCGCCCGCGGTGATCGTGCGCGCCGCGACGAGGGGCATGGGCCCGCGTGCTGCCCGTGCGGTGGTCAAGGTCCTGGCGCGCGAGGGGGAGTATGTCGTGAAGCTGCCTGGGCCGGTGCCATTGCCCGAGCCGCGTGCGGGCAAGGGCCGCGCGGGGGCACCCGCACTTGCGCCGAAGCCCAGTAGCAGGAAGGATTCTTCGGTCGCCGAGGCGGACGCGTTCACCGTCAAGCTCCCGCCGCCGCCTGCGGCGAAAGCGAACGCGGACGCGGAAGCAAGTTTGAAGCCGGACGCGGACGGGTGGGTGCGCCCGGACGCGGCGGCTGCTGCGCTCGCGGCGTCGCTCTCCCCGCCGCCGGTCCCCCTCCCGCTGCCCAACACGCTCAACACGCTCAGCTCCCCGCCCGTCCTCTCCCCGCCCTCCCTCCCCAACAACGTCCTCCCCAGCACCAACCCCACTGCCCTCCCGCCGCAAGCGCAGTTCTGGGCTCCGCACCCGCAGGCGTTCGCGTTCCCGCCGCCTCCCCCACCTCCAAGCGGGCCTGGCGCCGGGCAGGGGCTGCCGATTGGCTTTTCGGCGCCGCCGGGATTCCCAGGGCCGCCGCACTTCGGGGGCCACAGCCACACGCCGAGCCTGAGCTTCGGCGGCGCGGTGCCCGGATTCCCGGCGCAAGCGCAGATCGGGGGGACGCCGCCGCCGGGTTTCATCCCTGCGCAGATGGGGACGCCGCCGCCTGGCTTCGGCATTGGCATCGGCACGCCGCCCTTTGGTGCGCCGCAGGCGCTCCCCGGGTACGGGGGGATGGGCATGGGCATGGGGCTCCCGCCCGGCGTGGCGCTCGATGCGCGGGGGATGCCGTTCGAGGTGGCAAGTGGGCGGGCGGTGTTTTTGCAGCCGCAGCCGCAGCCGCAACAGGGGTGGGGTGGGTATGGTGGGCACCAGCATGCGCAGTCGATGAGTATGGGTGGGGGGATGGGGATGGGGATGATGGGGGGCGGGGGCGGGGGGATGCACGCGCATGGGATGAGCATGAGCGGGATGGCGGACCCCTCGCTTTTTGCGTTTGCGCGGCCGGGGAGGGTGGAGATACGCGCGCCGGGGGCGGGGAAGCAGCCGTCGCCGCTGTCGCCGTTGTCCCCCTCCCCCAGGGAGAAGGAAGGGGGAGGGAACACACCAGCCAACGGCGATGCCGAGACTGGCGACGAAGCGAAGCGCCGCCTGCGCCTGCGCACGGGCGCGGCGGCGTTCGTCCCCGCGCACGCGTCTGCTGCGTCCATGTCCACCTCTGCCGCGATCTTCACCCCCGCCTCGGCCCTCGCGGCGCCCGTCTCGCCCGCGGGTCCCAGCGCCAACGCCGGGGAGGAGGGCGCGGGGGCGTACGGCTACGACAACGCGGGCTACGGCGCGTACGTGCCGACGCAGTATTACTACCCGCACCCGGCGTATTACCCCGTCGACGCGCAGCAGCAGCAGCAGGAGGGCGCGTATTATTAGCTCGGCCCTGGCGTTCGCGTCTTCTTTTTTTGGCGTTTATTCTCCTTTTTGGCAATTGGGTTCTCTTTCTCTCTTTTCGTACTCGTAGGTAGCTAGTCTTATTAACGTTATGTTTTCGTTTTTCCTTCTCGTCCTCGGTCAATTCTCTCTCAATCTCATTACCCCTCGATACTATCCACCCATCCATCCATCCATACAGACATACAGACATACATATATCCTCCTCATTCACCGCGTCCTTGGTACATACTTAGTACATACCTACAATACGACCGCCTCATGCGATACGATAGTCTTACCTCTACCTCTACTTTACTCTCGCTTGTCGTCGTTTCAAGTTGCTGTTCCTGGTCTCTTTTTCTCGGGTTTGTTCGGGGAACGGTGTGCGTAATGAAATGGCGTCTGAATTTTGATCGAGAACCGGATTGGGCGTTGCGATGATGCGCTTGGGCCGGCACGTGATGGGTTCGAAAACGCGCGCGATTCTGGGAGAATTAATATTCTGCAGACGAAAATATATACAGTTAGGTTGCTACCATACCTTACTGTAACTAGTAAAGACAACCAAAGAGTTCCTACTTAACACAATGCTTTCGCAGAATGTAATTTCATGGCAACAAGTTGAGTCAGTTCACATTTCACGTAATTTACAACCATACTAAGACAGATGCGAGTATGGTAAATGTAGTACAAGGGGGAAGAGCATATACGACACATGGTGTTACAACATTGGTCAATATCAATGACAATGAGTTAAGCACGACGATTAGCACGGCCACCCCGTTTCCCCATGCCCCGTGGGCCATGACTGTGCGATGCTACTGGCATGACCAGGGTGTCCAGAGGGATAGAAACCTTGTCCTCAGCACCCATCCATCGATCCGACACGAATCGTATGGTCACTGACGGAGGTGGTTGGAAATCGGGGATCGAGATGACAAAATCTACATCCAGAGCCTCTGTGGTGGGTCGAAAGACTAGATGAGAAAGTTGTAGGATATTCAAGGCGTTGTGATCTTCAACCCAAAGCCAGAAAGGTTCTTCGCTGCCGTGTACTTTACTGTTCCAAGTAAACGTCGGCGTTACCCGAGCTGCAATTTTTAGCACATCGAACCCAAGTGGACGGAGGTTGTAGGTGATGCGAACGGAGGGAAATTGTTTGGCGGCATTGAGAATGGCTAGACCGTGGCGTTCATTGAGATGGACGAGTTTCCCCAACTCGTCGGCGCTCACGGCCGCAAGCTCCGCGGGCGACCATTTGTCCGCCCACCTTTCTAATCCGTAAAATATGTCGCCTTCGAGATCGAATTGCTTCAACAGCTGGTCAAACGGCCATAGCCGTTTTTCGATAGCCTTGCTCATGCCCATGAGTACCGCTGTCACGTTTGCCCATTTTCTACTGATGGCAATTTCAAGAAGGGCTCTCAGAATCCGACCACCATTTTGAGCAGCATATGCGGTGTCGGAGACCAACGCGAAGTCGTCCACGGGCTGCCTTGATATAAAACCCTGCAGGAGGATATTGACTTTGCCCTGACTTGTGTCTGCACCGCCCTGAGGACAAAAGGGGGAGGTTCAAACTCTACCAGCGTAAAAATCAATGGATTTACTTTGACATCACATGGAATGATTTCCATCACTTGCTGCAGTTCTTTGACTTCAGACTCCCGAACATGTATTCGGTCAAACTTCGAACTCTCGTCAAGACTGGATCAATGCAAACAAAAGATAGAACAGCTCACCTCCGTGCTCATACTAAGCATCGCCAACACGTCTGCCTCCGACATCCGCTGCCGGAACTCTTTGTTGAAGATCTCGATGGAAGTGTATCGAATGTAGTACTTGGCAGCAATTCTGCCCAGATCAGTGACTGCCAAGTCGCCGTTGACACGGTCAAAGATTATCATGCCCGCATTCGACAGTTTCTGTGCCGCAGCGGTTATCAACTCGTTTCTCTTGGAACCCAACTGGGGGTCATCGCCCGTCGCATCTCGTGAGATCCCTATGGAAGCATATTCGACAACAGGGAACATGGGAAGCAGATATGGACGAACCGTATAGGAAAGGGTTCTTACGCATTCGTACGAACAAGTA